CCCTATGGGCCTTCACGGCCTGGTACAGGGATACCTTTACTTACTTTTTACTTTACTTCAATTTTTCTAGGTATTAGGCCAACCACAATGTTTCGCATCTTCCTCCGTATTTATAATCCACATTAATAAAAAGTTTAGTCGGTCGAGTCACTATGCTACAAGACATTCGAAAGATAATTTAATAAGTATGAACCGGAAGTTACAGGATCTAACTCTTGAAGCAGAAGAATAAGAATATATTATTGCCAAACACCATGCATTTGGTTCTTCCCAAGTTGCACACCCATATAAGCAGCGTGTAAAATTATGGATTGCATCTTATAATTCTTAGATTTTTCACGTAGGTTATGAAAGTACAGGAAAGCTAACTTAATTATGCACATATTGATGATTGGTAAGTTGATATAGCTACAAGATTACTTATTGAACGACCGAACAATCCGGTTCAATTCCTGACAGAAACAAGAGAGATTTGCCTCTGCAAAAATATTCAGATTGGCTCCGTGGGCCACCCAGCCTCCTATATAATGAGTGCCGAAGACTGTTTTCGGGGGATAAAGTGGTCGGGTTGTGAAGCAGACCACTTTGCTCCACCTATTGCCGGGGTAAAGGATGGTGGATCTATGCCTCCACTTCTCCAGACTTCTCCATATCGTACTGCGTGATTAATCACAGGTTGCATCTTCACAAAATGGGTCAAAATTTGAAAAGAAGAAAGATATGTGGATTTTAAATGTGTTACAAAATACAATCCGAAATGTGCAGGAAAACTGCGAGGGATCGGTAGACATACTTGTAGTCTGTCCTTGAAGGAGTTATTGCATTCCGTTTCTGTTGCACGAGCTAAAGAGAAAGAACACGGTAACCTTAATCTCCTCGCCAAGCGACATGGAAATCCCGCGTGTAGTTACCATTATTATCAGTTTCACTGTTGCACTAAGGCTGTATTCGAAAACTGTGCGTCCATGCTCTGCTTCCACTGCTTGGGCACGAAAGAGGGGATTCCCCAGAGAGAGCTGGTCTCTTGCTTAATCTGTACACTGCGCATGTGCTCACTCGACCTGCACAGGAATCTCACGAGGAATGCAGCTGCGAAACGACTGAATACGACAGGGTCAACTGTGGAGAGAATTGCGCAGTCTACGGATTATCCCAATGTATCGCACACTCAACTAGCTACCTAATTAATCAGTGGACTTAATATCTAACTAAGTAGCCCAGTAAGGCCGCGCCATAGCTCAAGCGGTTAGTCGCTGACTTCCCACCGCGGCGGCCCGAGTTCGATCCCGGGTCTGGTCAAGTTGGATTTGTGGTGGACAAAGTGGCGCTGGGGCATGTTTTCTCTGAGTGCTTCGGTTTCCCCTGCCAATCTTCATTCCGCCAAATTCTCCACCATCATAATCACCCGGGGCAGGTACAATAAGCCAATCAGTATCCGACGTGCCGAGTGGACCCAGCTGGACTCCACCCCCCACTAGCGAATTTCAATTTTAATTTAAGTAGCCCAGTAACTAAAAATAATATGTAACAGTCGATTTTGGTTAAATTTGGTTTTCGAGGCTGGCACAAAAGTTAAAATTCTACATATTGCAACAGAGCATATCATTTTACTTGAAGTGCTATATGACTGAATGTTTTGGAGCAGTATTCGAACTTCTTATTTTACGCAGCTTAATCATTTGGAAGGCCGTAAGCTTGACCACCACCAAGTTTAAGCCTCTTAAATTGATCACCATAATAATACCTTCTGTTGTACTTTCGGAACCTTTTAATAAATTCGTGTTGTCCTATAGAATTTACCACGAAAACATTGCCGGATTTCGTTGAATAAAATGCAGATGGGAAAGATACAAGGAGAAAGGCCTGGAAAGCTGCAATCCGTACAAGAATACAAACAGTTTCGCTAGGCATTCTTTGCAACTGTGCCTTCTGAATACCGCTAGATGTTAGCCGCAGATTCCATGAACCCGACAGCAAAATCAAGTAGGCTTGCACATTAAATATAATGTTTCCACTGCTCCCTTCGTATAAATCGAGATATTTTAATGTTTATAACATATAATATTCGCATCTTCGCCATATTACTAATTGTTGACGTAGAAGCGGTACTTATTACAAAGTGTTAAAGCATGTGTATAGTCTATCTCCACACCAAACTCCACAACTTTAATTCCAATAGTTCATAGCTAACGCTGTCAGAAAGAAAGATAAATACGAGTATATTGTTACATGTATGAGTGATTATAGATGTTGTTTGAATTGGTAATTGGATTTATTGTACACTTTTTTCCCCCCCTTGGCACTACAGCCCCAGTGGGCCTAGGCCNTGTAACCGCTCACTTCCTTTGTGCCCTTTTCGTTGTGCGCCACTCTCTCACCTATCACTGCTTTGGGTTCTTTTTGGTAGTCGGTAGAGTTGAGTTCCTATCCCAGGGTCTTATAAGGGTCTGGCTAGGACAGGGCAGGAAGAACCTTTCTACTTCAATTNCTTCCGAGCGAGCGAAGACAGTGCATGCCTTAGACCGCTCGGCTACCGTGACCGGCTTATTGTACACTTACACACCGTAAATACAAGTAGTTATGGCTTTTTCGCTAATTCATACACTCTACAATTCACCAGAGCACGCACCAAATCTTCTTAGTCTCCTGTGTCTTCACCGGTTGTCTCCCGGTAAAGGCCTCAACGCCGACACCTTCCTCAGCTTCCGTTTCACGTCCTTATTTGTCGGCGACTGTCTCACAAATAAACTAAACTCTAGACTTATCCTGCTTATAACACATCGGCACGGACAGCACAGAAAAGAAAAAACTCTCCCAACAGCTTTTCAATTGTTGCATCACGTAGCTATCCCACGGACCGTTTAGAGAACAGCGCCTCCCAGTTACTCCATTGTTGCTTGTTACGAATCTGTTGCTGAGAGTATCTATCATCGGCTGTTGTTTAAAGAACCACTACCTAGCAACGGCTGTTGTATAGCTGCTAATTTTGCAGTAGTTACCTAGCAGTGGTTCTACATACCACAATGTTGTCACGTGTATGCTTGTAACTATAGACAGGATTTGGACTGGTAATAGTATTTATCGAACACTTAAGCACACAACTCGTAACAAGTAACTATAGAACTATCACTAATTCCTACTCAGCAGTTCACTACAGCGCGTATTAATTCTTCCTATTCCGCTGTGTTTTCACTAGTTTCTGCCTGGTAACGGCTTCCAAGATCATTCTAATATCTGGACAGTAGTTAACCACTGCCTTCGACTTTCTCATTTTCCGACGACTTAAAAGGAAATAAAAATAATAAACTTACCGAATCCCTACAAAGACCCTACATTTGCCCCATATTTATGCTGCTGGTTTAGGATGAGCAAAATATTCGATAAATGTATTTTAAAAATAGTCCAAATATACATTGAAGTAAGAGATCAGCTTATTTCACGTAATTTTGTTCCGTGCACGTCACAGTAATATATGATGCTTACGGATCACGTGACTTGAGAACCCCCCCCTGTGTGTCTGCGGCTGCCGTATTCTTGAATAAGGGAAAGCCAAATCATGGCACCCTTTGGTGCTAGGTAATTTATCTAAACTACGGGTTTCAACTAGTAAAATCAGGATTGCTAGCTCTTTTCTTTCTGAGAAAAAAATTCAAGATTTCGGTTTAAGGCGAAATGTCTATGGCATGGGGTGCCACAAAGTTCCGCCCCCGCTTCGTACACCGTGAAAGTATATGAACTGTGTATAAACGACGGCCCCCTCAAACAATACTCATCTGGGTGTCTTCGCTAAAGACACTTGTAGATATGTGAAAGTCCAGAAAGAAAGTTATGTGCTCAGCAAGCTGAAGCGCCGCCTCCTTTCTGTGAAGACATGCCGCTGATTGGACTCAGGCTACCGATCTGTCTCAGAGACTCCTTAGGCCCGTAATGAATTACGGGTATGTCTGTCCTACCTGGGAATTTGTTGCCGGATGCTTGTTGAAATTTCAGTACCTGCGAAACAAGTTTCTTCCTTGGTCATCCTCCATGGCGCACGCAGAAGCGATTTGCATAAGGCTTTCAAAGTACCGCGTGTTTATGATTGTATTACGAAGTTATGCAGGCAGGAAGCGGAAGTCGAACACATTAATGAAAATGGTAAAAGGTAAAGTTCTTCCTGTGCTTCACTAATTAAGCACTACGCCATGAAGGCGTATGGGGGAGTCGATGTCTAGATCCATATTTTCTTGACCTCGGCACTAGTTTGAGGTGAGTTGTCAGCTTCACGCCCCCATAGTTATTGTTGTACATTTGTTTATTTAAAGCAACATCCAGTGTATGTTACAGTTACATCGTTGACAACATGAGTAAACTAACAAAGACGTCATCTTTCGGTCCTGCGTACGAACGACAACACTGTTATAGCAGTTGTTTTAATTGTTATTTCCTGGACGACGCTGTGAGTCAGACAGACGCTTAACGTCGAATGGTTGGATGATGATGGAACGAAGAGGATGTAGGAAGAATCGGTTTGTGGCCTAATTTAAGATAGTATTTTGGCATTCGGCTGTAAGAGCTGAGAAAATTCACGAAAACCTCAAAATATTCGGTGCCCCTGTCGAGATTCGAACCGGGTACATCCAAAATACAAAGTTACGTTACTGCTTGAGACAGCTTGTTCGGTGATGAAATATATTATAACATATTCATATGCCGATCGCAGTGAACGCTTAGGGTCCCCCCTAGGGACCCGTAGGGTACCATTAAACACAGTTAAAGGATCACTGTCAGTTTTAAGTGCGTCATTAAACCAAAGAATGAGTAACCGAACATGAGCTGCAGCAGGTGATATTGGGGTCATGGTTGTCAGTGCGAAACAACTGAACTGACCAATGAGGTGGCAGCTTGTCAGTAATCCTACATAGATACACAAGATTACGTGATACGTCTGACCCCACCTCAGCCCCATCCGCCGACCAAACCGTCTCGAGAGCATTACAACGCATAAAAACAGAACCACTTTCCCCCTTAATGGAAGTACGTTACACGCGTGAGGAGGCAGAAGACAGCGCTGTGCTGTACAGTGGTTAAAATTAAAACAAGTGTTATTAGTTGTCAAGATGGCGGATAAGGATGGTGAGGTTTGGTTGTCAATACTGTAATAATATATTTTTATTGTTAAATTATTCCTTATAAACTTACTGTTTACCTTTGTGATAGAATTACTAAACTTAACTCTTTGCGATTCTTTCTGTTTTCTGCACTAATTACGTCGAACTGCCCCCTGAGTACCCGTTTAAGAAATTAAGAAGTCACATACGACCCTTCACTGATGTATGGTCGCCGTTCGACTCCGACCGACAGACACTGAGAGTGAATGATGCCGGAGGGAGGGTAAAGCCATGATCTTGTGTTCTATACTAAACGCTTTCTAGCGTACATACTGACTGTCCTCTAGCCAACACTGTAACTTAAATACAGGGCTGCAAATTGCCTTTCGCTGCACAAAATCTAATCGTTTCATCGCCTTCAGTAATTTCATAGTTCCAACTTCAAAGTAATTGATTTATATCTGCAGTAGCTGACTCTATGGGCCAGAGTCCATCTTGAGACTTTTAACACTCGTTCTAGCTGCAAAGGAAATGTCTTCTACTTGTAAGGAACCTGAAGGTTCACCGCCCGAGCCAGTTGAATTTAATCAAGGTTCTCGGACCCAGGAAGGCGGGATAACTAAGTCATTATACTGGTTAGACTGCGGTCTGAACAACCAATGAATTGGGGTTTGATTCTTGCTAGGGTAGATAGTATCTTTCCTCCACAGTGCCCAGACCGCCTCTGGAACCCATCCGGCCTCCTATCCAATGCACAATAAGAAAGCGTGGAGCCGCAGCTCCATTCCCTCATATGTCTGATAGTGCTTAATTAAGCGCACTGATAACTTTGTCTCTAAGTCATATCATTGCACTTTGTGTAAAATTTGAATATATTTTTTTTTTAATTTGCTTAGTGGGGGTGGAGTCCAATTGGGTCCACTCGGCACGGCAGCCACTGATTGGCCTATTGTAGCCTGCCCCGGGTGATTATGATGATGGAGAATTTGGTGGAATGAAGATTGGCAGGGAAAACCGAAGTACACGGAGAAAACCCGCCCCAGTGCCACTTTGTTCACCACAAGTCCCACTTGACCAGACCCGGGATCGAGCCCGGGCCGCTGCGGTGGGAAGCCAGCGACTAACCCCGTGAGCTATGGCGCGGTCTAGTATTTGGGTAACTATAAAGAGAATGGAAAAAAAAGGAACAAGTTTGGAGTTTTCTATATTTGAATTGATCTGTATTTCAGCATTGCCAGTTTGTCATCCACAGGTCCTTTCGCTGTAATAAGCCTCAAGTCTCTGTTAAAATTTTTGCGAAATGTTGGAATACCAAGAGACGAAAGTGGACAGTTGTATGTCAGTGGGGTGAAGCGCCGTTCCTTCAAATTGTAAAGTGCTGAACAGAAATAAATGAACGTGTAAGCGCAAGGAAAACAACACTGCCGTAACCACAAGGCAACATAAAACTTGGTTCATTGTTGATCTAAAAGGAAGGGGGGAGCTCGCATGAGGACATTTGCCTGTGCATTCACTGTTCGGAGTAGTGTAATTTCGGTTACAATGGAAATTTGTTGCACGTACCATAATATTCATACCGGCAGCAGGACGTATCGTATCTGGTTTACTACTGTACCATCTTTACTTATCTAGTGTCTTCTTTTCATTGTATTGACTGCAACAGAGACTTTCGTCTTTCCGTGATGCTGCCGAAAGGCAGCACGCGTTATGTTTTTGTTCTTGGATCGTCCGATTTCTCGGAATGAGTGCGTAATAACCTAAATAATTCGAACTGGGTCTCATTTTATGAAACTAAATGTACTTCTGCGTCTATCTCAGAGCACGAATCATTAAAAGTTCCAGCAATACTCGTATTATCGCTGCTTCCAGGAATTCCGGATCGATTCTCTTTTACGTCTGTAATTCTTTTTTCTCTCCCGGTACGCAGACTGCAAGACACGACCGCAAAATGTTGCTTGGTTACCTCATCAGTGGGCCACATAGTCATTTCTTCAATATGGCGTTCCAAACATGAGGCCAGTAAGCGTAGTTAAGGAACAATGAAGAAGCATTCGGTATTTCCACTTACAGCTGTACAAAAGCAAGCATGGTAAAGCTGAAGTGACGCAGAAGTAATGAGATTTTCACGGCAGTGATAATTCAGATGGTGGTCTTTTGGTTTCAGAACGTTAGCATCCAACTAAAAGAATACACGGGGCCATAAGCCTGAAGACTTCAATATAAATTTACCGCGTGGACGATTTTGGACTTTGAGAGGACTGTATGGAATTCCCAATAAAGTTTTAAGCCTACAGATCGATAATGGTTTCAGTCTATGTGCAAGTACTCGTTGTACACTTGAGACCGATTAAAGAGATACCAAAAGAATTCATAGTGACGTGATCCGCCTGTTTATTCCTGTAGTTAGACTGCAAAAGTATTCCGTCGGCAGTTTCGTCTGACGATTAGACGTAGGATATTTGATACGAATGAGCGATTTTTTAGTCATCTCCGGGAAGTGCGTAAGTCCATTATAAAAAGCCAATGCTGTCCCTATGCTTAACTAATTAGGTGTATGGGGGAGTGGATATATAGATCCACGTTTTCTTGACCTCGACACTTGTTTGAGGTGAATGGTCAGTTCCACTCCCAGGCCACTTTAGCCCCGTGAAAGAACCCCCGTACAAATTGGATAGGAGGTTGGGTGGACACAAGAGCCGGTCTGGACGACGTGGAGAAAAGAAAATTCTTGACCCTACCAGGATTCGAACTCCGACCCCTCTGTCGTACTGCCTGTAGCCAGTCGCTATACCGACTAAGCTATCCCGGGTTCGTAAAGCCATTGTATATCTAGAAAATATAAATTAAGTATCATCTGTACAGTATATGAAACTCAAATTGAGCTTAACAAATATATGGAGATCGTCTTACTACCTCAGCATATCTACAAATTATATCTAACATTTAAATGTGTTTTCTTTATTTATTCGCTGTAGAATAGTGTGTTTTTGGTGATGTGTTTCCTTCGATTGTGCCGTCTATAGGTAATATATTAAAATCTTAAATTTTTTATTTTCAAACATCAGTATGACTCGCGCGTGAGGCTGCAGAGATATAAACGCGGACACAGTGCAACAGATTGGTACAATCCAACATTGTGTTTCATTTCACTTAACGAAATAGAAACAAAATTTATTGTGCCTATTACACAAATTACTTTTTGAATTTACAGGTTGGTTAAACTGTCGGATATCATTTCTATTAATGCAGATCCTAGGCCATAATAAAGTGTGTAAGGTAGAGGCAAAGTTATCCCTGTAACAGGCATACATGGTTGTGAGAAGTCGAGGCTCATACAATTTCTCTAGACAATCGGCTCACAGATGGCGGCAAGGTTGTAAGCCTTACGCGCCGGCTTACCCTTAACCACCAGAAAGATTCCTGGTACTCGTTTCTGTTAGAGGCTGAGTCGACCCTAGGGCCATACTGCGGCTCGAAGGATTAGGTCAATTAAAAAAAATCTACCTCCCCGGGACTAGAACCGGCGACATTCCAGGTTATAGCATAGTGCCTCAAACAACTACGCTACCACGGAATGTAACAGAATAAATGGATGTTACGACACTCAAATTGTAATGGTATCCAAAATTATGTAAGCTAATTCCAAGACTTGTTGTTTGGAACCAATAAGAAATGTGGATAACAACAGAAAGTAGGAGACATAGCAGCTGAAATGTGTTTCCTGATATCAGTAGCTACAGTTTTCAGACTAAAAGAGGATTGGCGATATTGGGTAGGAATTACAGATAAATGCCAGTACAGAAAGATTTCAGTTTACTGAAATAATTGGTGGACACCTTTCGAAAAAATCGAATAAAATAGTAGGCCTATCTCAAAAGTAGTTTCTAATTTTGGCCTGCGAGGGAGAAGCAACGTTATAATTCTACAAATTGGACTGAAGTAAATTGTGACAGAAGTTCTGACAGATTACGCAATTGCATATTACATAATAATAAACTTAAAATTTATTGTGCAAGCTTTACACACAACTCCCACATGTACCCTTGATATTGTTACGTGAAAGTAGTCCTTGTGATGACTTGCCTTAAGGAGGAAATTCGTGTGGGTCAGAGTAGGTCAGTCATACATGTAAGATCTAAGTAAAATTCTGTGCTCTTTGGACTATTGCAACCTTGACCCAGTTGGCCAGCAAAATCTCGATTTTAGGTGAACATTTCTAAGCTGAGAAATTTTTTACGTTCAGTGCGACGTAGTAGGTATTTCTGTTAACTGTGATGTATGAGTCTTCAGGTTATGAATCATTCTTTTAGAATATATCGTAAAATCCTATTTGCGTTTTATAAGAAGTGGAAGTTATGAATTGATTAAAGCGAAACTTAAATTCGCCCAACAATCTGCAACATTGACCCACAATTAAAAATACATATTGAAATCAAACTGAAGTTTCGATGCAATATGAATAGACAGGCAACGTGTTACAAACTTACATCGAGCGGGCTAGCATAGAGATAACATTAGAGACTCTTTCCGGAAGTGATCGATGTGAATATCGCTTGTACTTTTACGAGTAAAATAGAAGGTGCCCGAAGTGCTGCATTNTCCATCAGTCCGTCCAGTCAAATGATGGGATAGGTCACTACGGCTTCCTTCCAAATATTTTCCAGTTATTGTATATTCTAGGTACTGAGACCGACGCGTTATAACCAGGAATGAAAAATAAGAACTCTTAAATAGGATTTCCTCTGTTCACACTGAGGTCTTCAGATTTAAGATACTTTGAAAATGCTTCGGATAAACATACTGCTTCTTTCGTAATTTTTTTTCACAGCTCAAAAAACTACAGTCTTAATACTCACCTCACAGAAAAGCTCAAAATTTTTAGTATTGGCTTTCAGAATATTCCTATTGTGAATATGAGTGAATATTATGAGTCCAGAGATCTTTTTTCATCTGACAAATAATTTTATAAGCCGGCTAATATAAAATCATTGTAAATGGACGCTGAGTTTATGGGAACAGAACCACACAAATCTTCCATCTGAGGTAACCTGCACATTCCTCTCCTATGCATACACATCTAAGCAATATCAATTCGGCTTTCTTGAAAAATGTAAATAAAGACTTGTTATACTGGAAAGTTTGCATTACATTAAGGGCTGAAAAGAGAGAGGATTATAAGATCTATTGAACAAAATATACATAGAGACTAGTTGAAATTGAAAACACAATAGCAATTGGAAGATTAATAATTTAGTTAAGAAGTTTCCATATTTTAATACTAATATACTCGCAGTGACAAACAATTTTATAAAATAATCTCTACTCAGACTACAGTATGGCAACAACGCTTGTACTTTTACGAGTAAAATAGAAGATGCCCGAAGTGTTGCATTGTTAGAACGCTTGTACACGTACTTTGCTGAGTGAAATACGCGGTGCCTGCACTACTGTGCTGATATAACTCTTGCCCTTCTCTGAGTGAAATACTCCGTGCCTACACTACTGTGCAGGTGTAACACTTCTCCTTTGTTGAGTGAAATACGCGGTGCCTGCACTACTGTGCTGATATAACTCTTGCCCTTCTCTGAGTGAAATACTCCGTGCCTACACTACTGTGCAGGTATAATACTTCTCCTTTGTTGAGTGAAATACGCGGTGCCTGCACTACTGTGCTGATATAACTCTTGCCCTTCTCTGAGTGAAATACTCCGTGCCTACACTACTGTGCAGGTATAATNTTAGAACGCTTGTACACGTACTTTGCTGAGTGAAATACGCGGTGCCAGCAAAACTATGTGGTTATAACTCTTGTCCTTTTCTGAGTGAAATACACTGTGCCTACACTATTGTGCAGGTGTAACACTTGTCCTTTACTGAGTGAAATACGCGGTGCCTGCACTACTGTGCAGATATGACTCTTGTCCTTTGCTGAGTGAAATACTCCGTGCCTACACTACTGTTCAAGTGTAACACTTGTCCTTTGTTGAGTGAAATACGCGGTGCCTACACTACTCTGTGGGGGTAGCCCTTGTACCGTGACGATTGAAACACAGGGCGCCCGCGCTACAGTATGGCCACAGAGATTTTGTTTGAAAAGTCAGATTTGTGCATCAGAAATGAAGTGAAGTTTTTGCGCTGTCTTCCCGGGTGCGAGTTGACCCATTGAAGCATAATGGTTACCACGTGTACTAACTGCTTGAATATTTAAATAATCCCCAACTGCCCACGGAATACATTTACATATTTCATACGATCATCGAGAAATGGAAACTATTTTCCTGAACAACATTAACCGACTGGTCTCCATGGTAGTGTATTTCCTGTGAGGCAGGACCTGAATATATAAGTATTATTCGCAAGAGATTTGTGTTTCAAAGAGCTAGAAGATAAATGATTTATGAGGAAAGTGATAATGTATTTTAATCCAGATATAACAGTGTGTGAATATCGACCACTTCTGTTGAGCGATTATTAATTCTGAGATTTTGGGTCTGAATATACGCCTCCTTTAACAACAATCCTACCGTTCTGCCCTATATAAAGGAGTCAGTCGATACAGCATCGTTACATGATGAAATAATCAGTTAGTCATTAACAAGATAGGGGCTCTACTCTAAGTTGTTATTGGTGTATGGCTGGCTCAGTGGGACCGAGTTACACGTCTGGTTTTCAACTTTTCATGAAAATCCATGCTTTGATAACTACAGTAAATCGGAGTTGTGCCTATGCTGATTAAGTTTCCCGGCTACAGAAACTTATAGTGGAATGGACTTATAGTTCCACTCAATGTTAACCTTGGTACTAACTTAAGATCCCCCCATAGGGTTGCGAGACCTTGAGGGTTCCACATTGTCTAGACAGTCGGCTCAAAGATGGCGGTGAGGTTAAAATCCGCGGTGAGTTTCTTTCTCCAACTGCTTTATCCTCGGAAATATGAGGCTAGGTGCGTTTCAGAGCAAGTCTGAATATGAAGAAAAGAAGAAAAATTTGCTGGGAATCAAATTCTAGTCGTCCCTAGACGCCATAATGACCAAGCTGATTTGAAGGTTCCCCTGCTTTTATTCAAGCACTGGCGTGTGAACGAATGGACGAATAATCCAACGCATTCTTAACCTCTGTCCTATTTTAGTCAGTTTCATAAACTGACCGCTTTACCCAAAGGGAAACCTTATTGCTGGTGACAGACACACACAAGGCCATAAAGATATCAGTTCTAATACCACGTGATAATAATTAGGTTTATAGAAGGGGCCCACAAAATACTTTGATACCAGCGACCCATCAAGCTCGTGTCTTTTAATACTGACAATGCACATTGTCAAGAATGTAAATTCATGCCGAGAATTTAATAAACCATTGTCACAAAATGTTTGTCTGCAGTGGTCAGGGCGCAGTTGTTCTACACTGTGCTGGGTGCCGTGTTGCTGACCTCAGCGCCAAATGCGGAGGGTGAGAACAAATGGGTCTGGTCTGGCAGCGGCCGAAGCGCCTCCGGCGGCAGTGCGTCGCCCTACTTCCCAGGGGAAACAAGCCTCCCACTCTACAGGTAGCTACTTTCTTCGCAGAGACTCGGCGGCTGTGTAGGGTTAAACGAATGGCAAGGACGTGAAAGTAAGCGGACTTGGACTGTTTTAAACCACTTGCCAATAGGGAAGAAGGGAAATTACAGCAGCCGAAATTCAAACCAAAGACCCCAAGCGGTATGTTTTTATTGACATTTCTTTATTTCTAATGATTGCAATTATCCTAATGATTGTTCATTCATAACATCGCTATTCTGACTGGCAGCGGGTATCTCAGTATAACTATAGGATACGGGCTGGATGACCGAGGAATCAGGGTTCAATTGCAGGTAGGGGTAGGAGATACTTCTCTTCTTCATACCATCCAAACCGGTTCAGTGGCCCACTCAACATCCTATCCAATGGATACGGGTGGCCAGCTAGTACCGAAGTTAAGAATACGTGGAAGTACACCTTTACTCCTCCATAGGTCTTTATGGCGAGGTGCTTAATTAATTAGAAGGCAAATTATTATTTTTGTGTTCATTATCTGAAGTACTGTAGACCAGTATACACGTTTCGAGATGTAAGTCTGCTCCCATTTTCATATTATATGCTGTCGTCGTACGACCAGGATATTTTTAGTTCATATTTGTGACACTAGAGGCGATATTTGTATCCGGACCCAGGGGCTATTGAATTTGGGCCAGTTATATTTATCACCAGATAACCAGAGGCGATCTTTTGTATGTGCAATCATTGTATTTCCCACGCGGGGACTATGATATCAGCAGTGAATGAGAACAACTGGTTTCAGTCATCTCTATTTAAATATAAAAGCGTTGTGGCCACGCGCACGATCCCTGACTGCGTAAGCAATGGGTTCATTGTTTCTAATTGAACGTAGGACACGCCTTCTTCCGTTGGCCTGTGAAGGTCGAGGGTTTGCAACGGACTGATTTCCGCTCACCGTGCTTCACTGGCAGCCTCTGTAGTAGTTCGCAAAGGCCTGTGATTAGAAGAGGCCGCGGATCAGAACAGGCTCTACCTAAAAGGGAAAGGAATCCAGTTTAAACATTACATTGAGTAACGTGTGCTTTTGTTTCCCATGTTATGAAGTTATGAACCTGTGAATAAACGGTTCGCGTCCGACTTCGGATCTCTCGACGCAATCTTCATTTCTCCTCTCTGTATGCCACCATTCGAAATAGTTTCCAACGAAGAATATTACTTTAGGCCGTAAACTACAGACGAATGCCGAAGTCTATTAAAATTACGAGGTCTGGCGTTTCGAATCCCTCAAATTCATCACCACGGCTACATATGTTTTCCAGAAACTGAATTTCGTTCGCGTTGAGAGCAATTTGCGTAAGTAATTTCCCCGTTACTTTTTATTAAATCTATTTGATTATATTTCTACCGAATAGAGTTATTCTAGTGTCAATGTATCTATATATGATATGAAGAACCTGAGCCGTCAGTCGATGTAGCGACGGCATTCGGGCTGGACGGCTCGGGTTAGATTCCTGTCAATAAAACAATCTTCTCTCTCCACAGCGTCCAGACCGACTCTGGGACCCACCCAACCTTCTATCGAATGAAAACCGGGGTTTCTTTCCCCGGGGATAAAGCGGTAGGGGTGTGAAGCTGACCAGTTAGCTCCATCTAGTACAGAGGTCACTATACCATAAGTATTCATGCCATACTGCTTAATTAATTGAGCACAGGGACATCTTTACCTGTATACATACAAAATAGGCGCAAAGATATTACGCTCACTGTTTTATACGTGATCTGACAAGAAGGTTCGCGAACTCATTGCGGTAAGAGTGCTGTATACCCCATTGCTGAATATAACTGTGGTCGCCTTCAAAGTACTCCCCTTGGGAAGCCATGCACCGATGCTAGCGCCTAGTCAAACTTGCAAAACAATATTGGAACGGGTTTTGTGGAATGGCCTTCAGAGCTGTCGCCGTATTACTCATGATGTCATCAGTGTCATCAAAATGCCTTCCTTTCAATATTTCCTTTATCTTCTGGAAAAAGAAAGCTATTGGGAGCTAGATCCGGTGAATAGGGAGGGAGTTTCAGCACAGTTATTTGTTTACTAGCTAAAAACTCCCTCACAGACAGTGCTCTAGTTCAAGCTCCGAGATTCTCGTGACGGCACACCAAAACACACTCAGACAGTAAGAGACGGCACTCAGAAAGAGACTGCCGTAGATCAACAACACAACTGTGAAACGCTGATATGCCAACGTCATCAAATATACTGAGGTTTCTGTCCACTACTATCACGGCAAGCACACGGTAACGAGTTTTTAATGTCACACCTCGTATACGATTGACCTTGACTGAGTTAGCTTCGAGACGAAATCGATTATTGTTTGGTGGATCATTGTCGCTGATTTCACTATCGTTCTATAGTCATTTAGAATCCCACGCCAGTGCAGGCACCGCTCTTTTCATGAACATGCTGCCTATGCAGTTCGATTTAGGAAGATGATCTCCGTAAACTACAAAAAAAATTAATTTGATTCCTTTGAAACGTTTCCGAGCAAATTGCCATTTTGCTTCTTGGTTTCCAACTGCAGGGCTCTTTATTTTTGTAGCTAGAATATTCATGCTCACCGAGAAGAGCCCTCTGACGGCTGGTCCGTTAAATACGGAATATGAAATCCGTTTCAAAAGCTGAGGCTGTAGCGAAGGGGCACACAGACGGGATTCCAAAACCACTTTTTCATAACCGGGGGAGAGATGGACACTTATAAAGTCGTCAGAATCTCGAGATCCGTCCTTTCATCATAACAAGAATTTGTTATGTATACTGAGACGCACTCGCGAGTTCGAGTCCCGGTGAGGTGAAATCTTCAATTTACCTAATCCTTCCAGCACCACTATGGCCCTGGGTTCCACTCAGCCTCTAACAGAAATGAGTACCAGAAATCTTCCTTGGGGGATAAAGTGCGGCCAGCGCATAAGGCTGACAACCTCAACCCCATCTTTGAGCCGATTGTCTAGGGAAAATGTGGGAGCCTCGACGTCTCACAACCATATGGGATTTCACGACCTATTACAGGGTTATCTTTACTTTTTTTTTTCTAAGGTAGATGGTAAAATAGGTAAAGCTATCCCTGTAAAAGACCCTGAAGTCCCATAGGGTTGTGAGACATCGAGGATCCCACATTTTCCCTAGACAATTGGCTCAAAGATGGCGGTGAGGTTGTCAGCCTTACCGGTCAGCCGCACTTTACCCCCCCAAGGAAGCTTTCTGGTACTCATTTCTGTTAGAGGCTGAGTCGACCTAAGGGCCACAGTGCTGCTGGAAGGATTAGTTCAATTGAAAAATCCAATAACGTCATCGGGAATCGAACCGGCGACATTCAAGATTGTAGCGTAGTGCCTCAGCTACGCTACCGCGTGTCCCCTTTTCACATGTACTGCGTATTTTAAAAACATGCAAACCCGTCCGGATCTCGAGGCCGTTAACTTTTGCACATTAAAAATTTTTTCTATGATACCTTATGTACAAATAGTTACGTGACTGTTAGATGAAAATCAGGACATTACGCAGCTCCGTGTCTCCATAACAAGTATAGTATAATGAGAGAGAATATGGTCATTTTCTAGGCAATGGCTAGGCAAACACTTTCTAATAACCGGAATAATATCACAAACGGAAGTAATTTTTGCTAGGCAACGGCTAGGTAAACGTTTGTTTCCGCGGCAGCGAATGTTAACAAAGGCATTCCCATGACAACACAAAAGAAGAGAAGAACTGCTCGACGTGGCGACTTCTATCCCGCCTTGTGACAGTTTAAAAAGGCAGTGCCTTCTTGAATTCGAGTAGTAGAGATCAGTCCGAGACTAGTGAGAGACTAAAGAGAGATTCTTCATGCAGAATTGTCATACAGACGTCGTTCAGAAGGAGCTCAATGTTGTAATAGACTATAATTGCAAAGAAGTGCCAATAAACCCAATCATCAAATCCAGAACCCATTATTATAAGTCAAGCAAAGTCCTTAGGAGTGACAATAAGAAAGAGACGCCTTACGATTTACTTTCTCTTCGTGTTTTTCGTGGGTGATGGCGTTAAACGTCGATCTCACATTCTTAACCACAGCAGACAGCAGTGGGTAAACTTCACTCCTCGGTGTCTGCCCCCAAGGGATGAGCTTTGTGTAGAAAGCTGTGTACCACTGTCATTTTGAATGAGAAGGCGTAGAGAAAAATCTATGCTGCTATAGAGAATCGAACCTCGGTTCTTCAGTTCATAAGCAGTCACAATACTGACTGAGATATCTCATTTCATATACACTCTTCGTACATAAAATATTTATATTTCACGAAAATATTGAGAATGTTTCCGTGTACTACCACAAGACGATTGTACGTCGAAATCCAAAATTGCTGTCATGTAATACCAAAAAAGTAAAAGTGATATAACCTGAAACTTTATACAAGTTCGTTTAATTTACGATATTCCAGGCCGCCAGCACCGGTGTTCGAAACCACCGACTTTATGAACTCTCCGCCGTTCTTACAGCCTTCGCGTCCTGTGTCTAGACCCCCTTACAACAACCGTCCGATCAACGTGCCTCGACCTGACGGTCCTGGGCCTCAGGTTTCACGGCCTGGAAATTCTGGAGTATTAACCAATCCAGACGTTTCACGGCCCGGAGGTCCTGGAATATTAACTGGTCCGGTCCCATCGTGGGAACAACGACCTGGTGACAAGTTCGTCTACAAGGACTACGAGCATTGCAAGTGCGCATATTCGTTCAACTGCGCATCTCCAGGAATAAAGTTCGTAAGTGTCATTGTCCCGACAAAAACGTTCGCACCTAGGGTATATTAAGCAGGCCTAGGCGTAAGAGAATTTTCTCTTCTCTAAATCATCCAGACCGGCTTTGGGGTCTACCCAACCTCCTGTCCGGTGGATACCGGGAGCTTTTCCCTGGGGGGATAAAGCGGCAGGGGTATGAAGCTGACAACTCACCTCCAGCTGGTGGCGAGGTCAAGAAAATGGGGATCTATACATCTACTCCCCCATACGCCTTCATGGCTTATTGCTTAATTCGTTGAGTACAGGGACAACTTCACATTTTACTCTATAAACAGCCAAGGGGTGGGTCAGAAATGGGGCTCCAATAAAAATGGAGGGTGTGATACGAGGTAGTTGCACTCCTCAAGATGTGGTGGTAGTTGAGTATGGGGCAGTAGTGGCTGATGATAGCAGGAAAATCTGGGGAGAAACCAACTTCACTGTTACTTCGTCCACCGCATAGTAGTGTTATTGTTGTTGTTGTTAATTGCATTGCACACAATAATGGCCATTCTGCTTATCAAGAGAAACCTTACTGTTTGTAGCTCATGGTCTATTTGCGACAACATGAAAGCCAATCACCTGTTTAGTAAATTAGTAGATCTTGCATTACTTGAATGTTTTATCTTATTCCTTAAAAACTGAAACATTACCAATCTTCAGGGGCACTGTGACTCTGGGAAGCAGTACTGTTGCTACAATCCCAAGCCCGGTCCAAACTTGGCGCCATCTGCAGTCAACAGAGGACCAGGATTCATCGATTCTCCTGCGAAACCTACTTATGATCGCCCTATCCTAATTGGTCCTGGTGGTCCAACAGGAATTGTCAGTGAAGGAAGTCGTCCCTTCAAGCCTCCTGGAGGGCTTTATAGACCTTTGGCAGGAGAGGAACTTGATGAAGATTTTAGGATGAATAGAAGACCTTATCAAAGATATGGTACCATCAATGATGAACACTTCCCACGACCACCATATGATCCTTATGCCCGAAGTGCTAACATTGAGATGAAGAAGAATGGCAAGAAACTGTAACGGGTCTCTGTTCATATGTTTCATGTGAAATATAGTAATTATATTCATATATATCATTTAGTTTTCCGGAATCTCAGAAGTTATAATTTCATATTATAAATAATGCATTAAACCTTTCTTCCATTGATATCAAAGATGCTTTAAGAGTTCATTTTTAAGATAATTTGTCCATAAAAGGGTGGAGTATGAATTTACTTTATTAACGTGTATAAAACAGTAGCCAAACTTATCTTAAATATTAGAGTTTTACTGCTAACACTTCAGTCACTGCATTCTTAATCATCAATAATTTCAGTTTACTACTTATTCAATAATTATTCAAAATATCCCCTTGTGTATTATTTTATAACTCATTTATAGTTCACATACCTCGTATATTTAATGTGTTATTTACGTTGTGATATCGTATTATTGTGTTTAGTTTGTGTGTGATCTCTGCACAATGTACATAAAATGAACGCTTACCATGAAGGTAATTTCCATCAGTTTGCCACCATACTGAAATAAAGCAATTTTATCCCAGTGTTTGACGAAACTTTATGCTACGAAGACATGTGAGGGGACACAGCTCTAATTTTACGTATTCCTAACCCCGGAGGTGAATGATGAATGGGGTTCGACATTAACAGTTATACAGAAAATTTTATTTTAATCCATATTAATCAAATACAAAGAGTGCTTCATGTGCAGTACAAATCAGATTTCATTAGTAGTTCTCTTAAACAAGACTCGTCGTACTAATATTTCAGTGAATGATATTCATAAAGAAATGATTTCTGTTTACTGTGGGAAGTGTTTGTCGCGTAAAGCGGTTCACAGCTGGGTCGAGAAATTCTCTCAAGGACTTTCGAAAGTCGCAGATGAAGGCCGACTAGGTGCGGAAGTGGCTGAGACAACATTCAAAATACTTCAATGTTGCAGGTTTCGACACACTGGTAAAGGAATTGTACAAGTGTATCAGTGATGGTCGAGGATATATCGAGATATTTATGTTTTGAACATGTTCGAATATAAAATATTTTACGTTTTATGTTCATTTGTGACCTATTTACTGACCCTCTCGTAAATGAATAGACAGGCAATTCCACTGAAGTTTAAAACGTACTAAACGAGATATTATGAAATTACGAGAGTTTGCTTTGTTGGTAACATTGATGAAAATTGATGCAATTATGGTATAAATAGAAATCGCTTTGAAGTATTTATACAATAAGTAGCGGAGAATTTTGTAGAAGTCATTAACAATTCTGATGAATGCTGTTAATTTATTTGCAACAAAATCTGCTGAAACTTCTACTTGAATATTTGTGGAATAAACCAAATTAAACTCGATTCCGTTTGTTCATTTTAAGTGATACATTTCCTGTTTTCAACAAATTTAAATTTCCTTTAGTACTTTCCAACTAATATTATTAGCGCGACCCAATCGAGCCTGTAGTATGCATGGGAGAGATGAGAATTTCGTATGAAATTATAGTTGCAGAGCTGAAGACGAGAGACAACTCTGGGAATCTTTGTATGGATGGGAAGATACAGACTGGTGATAAAGTGCATGAGGATGTGGACTGCGTCCATGTGACTCTGGATAGGGCCCAGCTCTTCTGAACACATTAGCAAACTTCAACTTATATAGGGAGGATTGAAAGGAAACGTTCAGATGGACACATGTATGCATAGTTACTGGCATAATGACGTAACACTAATTGGTGATCAACAGCATTCTATATAATATTGTTTATTTTTGTTATGTCAGTTACTTTTAAAATGATCAGGCTTCAACATAACTACGCATTAAGCCGATTGTACTCATGCATTCATTAAAGGAAATATAATTTAAGCTCATAGACAGATTCCACTTTAAATTTTGCTTTTCTTCTAAAATTAATTCCAATTAAAATTTGTATCTTACTAGGAATCCGGTTATCTAACTAGTGCCTAACAGTACAGAGCGCTCACGCCTCAGGAGCAATTCATCCTTCTTTATGTGATTCTGTTGGGAGCCAGGATACCGCACTCGGCATAGCGACTGGATAAGGGCTGGACGACGGAGGGGCCGGAGTTCGAGTCCCGGTATGGTCAAGAATTTTTTCTTCTCCACAGCATCCTGTCGAATGGGTACCGGGGGCTTTTCCCCGGGGGATAAAGCGGCTGGTGCGTGAAACCGACCACTTACCTCCATCTAGTGCAGAAGTTAAGAAAGTATGGATTTATACATTCACTCCCCCATACGCCTTTATGGCCTAGTGCTTCATTAGTTAAGCACAGGGACATCTTTACCTTTACCTTATGTGATTCTCTAGAAACCACAACATATTTTTGTCAGATTTACGGAAATTCAGAATTACTGGGTTTCTGGATTTAGTCCATCTTCTGTTATTTTAAAACGTAGAGAATGCAACGTTTCAGAAACTGGATCTGTTTCCGTCCGTCATATAGACTCAGCACGAACGTACAGAAAACACGTTATATACATGTTATAATGTGTGGGGCGGACCACATAGAATGTATGTTTCCAGCGTTGTTGCCTAGCAATAGAATTCTTATTGTTGCGTACAGGTGTGTTGCGGGAATGCGTTTACTAAGCCGTTGCCTAGTAATGGGGATAAACATTAAAATAGCTATTTCATACATCTTCCCACCTCCTAGGTTAAAATAGGCCAACATAAATCATATAACACATTGTATGTGGTTGTCAAACTTAGTCTCTCATTCTCCGTGAAGAGTATCGACGAGTGAAAAAGAAAGGTCATGTAGAGAATATTCAAATGGAAGACAGACGAAGCAGCAATGAAATAGAGACAATTACATACAAACAAACTTGTTATTTATGCCTTTCGTGTCATATTAGGGATAAAAAAGTAGGTGCCACATAATAAATTTATGTAATATAATAAGCATACTTGACTTCCAATCAAGTCATTTTTAAAGACAACGAGGAAAATAAGAAATTCGCACATAAAGTTGCATGTTATTTAAAGTAATTTCAAGTGAGTCACACAGCAAGGGCAGTTCTCAGTTTCCAGTTGGAGGAGCAAACCTCTGGATGTGGAGAGTAAATGTAAAGGTAAAACTGTTCCTGTGATTCAGTAATTAAGCACTACGCCATGAAGGCGTATGGAGGAGTGGATGTGCCCACGTATTCTTGACCTAGGTACTAATTGGAGGTGAGTGGACAGATTCACTCCCCGCACATTGTATCTCCGGTGAAAGGGCTGGGTGCGCAGAATTACCGGTCTGGCCTACATGGAAAAGAGAAAATCTTGCCCCAGCCGGGATTCGAACTCCGAACCCTAGACCGTCCAGTAAGTAGCCAGTCGCTGTACCGACTGTGCTTTCTCGGCTCCCCACGTATGGAGATTAGCTACAAATATACTGAATAAAAAATCACACAAAATCAGATGTGGGATTTTCCCCCAAAGTGAGAACATTGTCAGGTAGAAAATTCTTAAAAAGCCCCAAAAAATTGGGTGGATTCTTAGGAAGGAACTTGGTAACAACTGAAGGGAATGAAAATTTGTATGTTGAATATTTTTAGTGCATATAGTGCTATTCACTATGGTGACAATGTAGTACAATGTGCGTAGTGGGAATCACAGGCAAACGAAATTAACAAACTACAGAAAGAACACAGTCAGGAAGCAAACTGATATGCAAAGAGGCACCTAAAATACATTGATATCATATGCTAATATCTGTGTATTCAGTACCAAAGCAACAGAATATAAAAATGAGAATTAAGCTAGAGAAATCTCTTGATACTGATATGTTGGGATTTTGGACTTTATCCATCGTCCAGGTTTTTAAGATAAATAAAAACACGACGTTTCGGAAACTGGATCTGTCTCCGTCCTCAGGTGAAGGAAAACACCTATTCAGTTGGGTCCCTTAGAAAGAGCTAGCCTCAATCCAGGACGGAGACAGATCCAGTTTCCGAAACGTCGTGTTTTTATTTATCTTAAAAACCTGGACGATGGATAAAGTCCAAAATCCCAACATATCAGTGTGTTATACACCATCGTCAGAATCCTATAGTAAATCTCTTGATGCTTAGGAGGAATATATACCACATAATAGACTAAGAAGTAACACTAGAGACATGCGAGAGAGTTGGAAGGTTACAACAGGATATAGTAACTGTTAATTTTATTTGCTGGTAACTCGTTTAACAACACCGTAATTAACTAAGATTCCATAACATCAAATGACTTGGTGATAATGAATCATGTGTGGTAGGAGCATTCGTAATCCAAGTGTGAGTTCCTATTTCGGTATTTGGTTGTAGGGACTGAAGAAATACATAAAGAACCTCAGTCAATATATTCAGTGTACTAACCAAGATTTGAACCTGAAACCTCACAAAACTTAAGCGTTACTGGTTGAACCAATTTGCTCAGCCTTGAAATAAAGTAACAAAATATGACATCTTGTAGTGTGGTAGAATGTTATCAATGTTATGGAGAAACTTGTGTTCCCATCTTCAGGGTTCATGAGGGAATGCGATTTTCATATTCGCTGAGGTGACAACTTTAAATCTGACTTATGTTTTTACAGTTCACATTATAGATATTGTGTAATTTACTCTTTGAACGTTGTTCTGCCTTGCTTACCGATAGTGGTGATCACTATGATTGAATAGAACAGTGCTCCAGCAAAGGACCATTGAACAACATTTTCGTCCTCTGTTCCGTCCCAACCGTCTGACTTCATGGACCGCAGCAGTTCTTGCTCGAACACTTTCAACCTGTCTCTCACTTTAGCTGTCCATGTGTCCTCTTTCAGCACATCTGTCGTTTGGAATAATATCCAGAGATCTTCCGTTACGTTAAAACGGATTCTACTGATATTACGTTTCACCTGAAAACAATTAAATACAATAACTTATTTCCAATAATGGTGTACTACACTTTTGGACTTCAGCAATCTTCTTGCATTCAAAACAGAACACAACATTTCGGAATCAGGATATGTTTCCATCCTCAGGTGAAAAGATGGTAGGATCTACTCAATTGGGCCCGGTATCCTCATAGAATTATAAGCGTATTTAATCTTTCGTTTTAATTTTTATTTATTAATTTGGCTTATTTGATGCCACAATTAAGGTAATTAATTTACGTAATCCAATTTCATCACTTAGTTTCGCGTTTTTCTGGGACTGGTAGAAGTAAATTTGGAATAGAGACATATTACCTTGGTACTTTTGCGCTGAAAGTAGGAGGGGCAGTCAAAAACTTTCCAGAATGGTAGTATTGCACTGTAATGGTAGGGCATACAGCAGCGCTTACCTAATCACCTTCAAAGTAGAACATATGCACACACACACACTTGCTCCACCGATCCTGCATTGTTGGAAGCACTGGCACATAACGCAAGGGAAATTCGATGTCTTCCGTCCTCACATGAAGGGAGAGGCACCTGCTATGTTGGCTCCCTTAGAAAGAGTTAGCATCAAGCACTGACTGAAGTCAGTTCATTCTAACGAACCCAAAATGGTAGGTGTCGCGGCCCCTCACATGAGGGCGACAACAAATACAATTTCCGAAGCGTATTCCTTAGTGTTATTCGGAATACGGGACAATGGACAAACTCCAGAGACTCAGCAATTCGAGTGTTATACGCCATCTTCAGAGCCATTTAGATTCTACTTAAGACTGCAGTTCCTTGATTCATATGGACTCATAATGTGCAGTATAGCAACTGATGTCTGCATGTAGTCAGCGATTCTGCATCTGTGCATGAGAATGGACAGATAGCACCTTTAATTGGACGGAAATCGTTCGAATAGCGTTGGAATATTACTCTTCACCACCGCGTCTTGATCTACACGGTGCCCGTACACCCTTCAATCCAGGTCTTACCGAAAGATGATACCGAGAAAGCGGGAACTTGACCACTATAAAACACTACTGCTGAATTTATGGAACTCTCCCTCTATTCTCCGGCACACGGAAGCGTAGTTGGTTGAGGCATTATGCTACAAGCCGGAAGGTCGCGGGTTCAAATCCCGATGAGGTCATTGGATTTTTTTCAATTGACCTCGTCCTTCCAGCCACACTATGGCCCTGGGGTCGACTCAGCCTCTAACAGAAATGAGTACCAGGAATTAATTAAATAATTTTCCTGGGGAGTAAAGCGCGGCCGGCACGTAAGGCTGACAACCTTACCGCCATCTTTGAGCCGATTGTCTAGATAATGTGGGACCCTCAACATCTCACAACCCTATGGGCCTTCACGGATTATTACAGGGATAGCTTTATTTTACTTACTTTACTTTTACTCCCTCTACTCTCCTGACATACCTTCATGACGTCACTCTTGAAACAAGTGGTGGGGAGTCGCGCAGCACTCGTAGGTTATGTAGTGACGCAGACATGATTATATGATGATTATAAATGATGTGCAAAAACGCTGTTGCAATCTACTTTAAGTTACACTATGAGCATTTGGCTGGAGTGACTGAGGAAACTAAGAAGAGGGACAGACAGCAGTTTGTCTCCAGGCAGATATTAATAGCCGACACCTCCTGAATAGAAGCAGAAATGTTAGGTACAGCAACTGATATTTTGCACGACGAGTTTTCTTGAACCACAGCGCTCTGTAAGTCTTCTTAAGGACGAATCGGGGTAAAGCTCCTTCTTTCTCCACACTCCGAGTGTTATATCGGCGGCAACCACAGAAACACAACAAGGAAACAACATAATCTTACCTTTATTTCATTGTGTGCCTCCAGATTCTGGAAGGTGAAGGCTCCCATTATGCAATACGACACGACCAGAGAGACAAGGGTCACGTGGGAAAAGAGGCAGGTGCATATTTTCCAGGTGTAACGGAGCAGCGTGCTGCACCGACTGGCCGCGACGTCCTCAGGTTCCTCCAGCATGTGGTGTAAAGTTTCTGCACATCCACTAAATCTTCGTTACACGCTTTTCCTACCCAGTTCGATGGGTTTAATAGTCACACAGCTTAAAGAACTGATATGTTAAGTTACAACACAGAATTCGATTTTAAATCAGTTAACACTGCATACGGCCATTTGCTTATAATATTTATTCAGTAGATAAAAGTGATCTTTCAAATGTATTTAAATTTTATATGATACCTGTTTCATGAGTGATAGATTATATCTGAATAACTATACGGAAACAGCTGCACATGGGATAGTCGCGGCTGAAAACGTGGTCATTATTTCTGTGGGTTATTTTAGGCCAATTCTATCCATCACCTACAAAACTCTGACGTCATAACGTATGTAAATTACGTAATTGTATGACGTAGTTTGGGGCGACTGAATCGTTCCCTCGAGGTCAATTTTCTGATTCCCAGCCTTTATTTTCTTTATATTTTCCTTCGTGTTCTCACAACATTAAAGGGAAACGGCTTACTTGATAAAGTGTCATAATTTAAAGTTACTCTTGAAATAGAATTTTCCTTTTCTTTCTTCAAACTGCACAATTTCACTCGAAACACGGAACACACACAATCTCTCGTCCACCACACATTCATCTCGCCGAACTCTTGTAGACGTTCTACATGTTATAAAGTGATGTTTGTCCTTTTTCTTTTCCACTTGGCTCCAATGCACGAAGTCTAAAAAAGAACACAGCCTATACCAAGAACTTCTTCTTCTGTGCAGGATTCCTTTGCCGTTGACTCCACACTCTCTCCCTTCCTAGAGCGACTGCTCTCCCCACCTCCCACTCCTCTGCAATCCATCTATTTCTCCCCCGTTTTCCTATTTTAATACACTTCCCCTCAGTAGTTCTACTCCATCATCCTGCAAATGTCGCCAAAGTGTTTACTCCCTCTCTCCCGCTAACATCATAACCAAGGAACCTCTCAGCACAGAAACTTTTAGCCCTCCATGAGGATTCTCAGAATGTGTCTAATTATCGCGGAATATAATGTAAATAATGAAATACATCTGTATCAGAAAATATATGGTAAGACAAATAGAGCATTACAAAGAGAGTACGGAAAGTTAAAAGTTAAAATTTCTTAAAGTGATGTCATTTTCCACATCCGTATGCGAAGTGAAAAAAAAAAAAAAAGGCCAGTGGCTTATAATTAAAGCAAAATTGAGTTTTTGAAAGCCCTGAGAATTTTTCAATATTAGACAGTATTAAACTTGAATTTTTAACGATGAAAGGAGACGTTTCTATACGTAACATCATAACTTAATAGTAATATACAATATACATTAATGGAAGAATAGCTTNGGGCGATACGTTCTTCCGAAATGTCGGTTAACACCACATATACACGGTGCCAAATCTCAGAAGACTGCTTTCTTCATAGTCACCGCCATGGAAGCCTCAAATCTTACAACTTCTAAGGTTCTTTCCTTGTTAAACTTACATTTCTCTATCACATTTATCCTTATATCTTATACTTACAACATAATGATATGTATCCATGACATAATAGCGTGATTCCATCCTCATTCATAATTGTGAGCCGAAATCCATTATTTAAATTTTACATATCTTTATAAATATCGTAATTTAAACAAGATACGAGTATATGATATTTCATCAAAACTGTACAAATTTCTTCTTAATGAATGTCCAGATGAACCTGGCACCATCACATCTATAATTTTAACATCTACGTGGCAAAAATGGGGGCTATCTGTTTTTCTCATTTTCAAGGAACAGCAACAGAAACTGTACAAGCTAGAATATGTAAATATGAAGCTGGAAGGGGGAAATGTACTATCAGAAGAGAATTCGCTCAAACAAGAGATAATTTTTGTTATTAAGAGTGATGAACGGAAGGAGCGAAATGTTTATTCGGCAACTGGAAGACTGGATTGCAGTTACTTCGACAGAATGGGCAGAGACAGGTTCCCTAAAATTCCAGATCGCCAGTATCCAACGGAGTGCAGGGCATGTACACATAAACAAAATCTGGATTTGTCTAAGCTGGAACATGTTCTTATCTAACTCCTGGATTGCAGAAGAAGAAACGTCACATATGCACTAAAAACTTCTGAAACTCAGTGAATTATTTGGTTCATAATTTTCGATAATTTCGACAATTTTGCGACACACAACAATTAACTAACGAGTTACCTCAAAACCCTACATAGGAACCGGCTACGAGGGGTGGCAGGATTATTTACAGGACGCTGTCACCTGAAAGAATATCTTTTCAATTTGGGATTGACAGATAACCCTATTTGCGACATATGCCAAGAAAAATACGAATCGGCCACACATATTCTATGTGATTATGAGGCCATAATTTCGTCATCTGGGCCAAATTTTATGGATCCAAACGACTACTATGATGCCCTCATACACAAAGTCCTACATTTCATTCGAACTTTGGGATTTATTAAGGGGTGACTAGAGGAGGAAGCACAATAAGTCACTGAAGGTCGCAGTACAAGGGCCGCATAATTCTGGTCCATCCATTGTGCATTCATTTATTCAACCCCAAATCCTGATAGAAGTACTGTTAAATGTTGCATAGGTAGAACACCCAAGTTGCTAATATATGGGTACGAATACGAAACTCAAAATAAAAGTGATAGAAAAATATGCAGTAAAACTGAATGCTATTGTCTTCATAGTCACCTGTTACAGAAACTCAGGTCTAACACCGCAGGATTGAAATGTTTGAAACTCTTTCTGTGCATAGTCTAAGTACTTGACAACGTAATTTACAGCTAATTGGATGGAAACCTAGGAAAATAACCAAGGACGAAATGTTGAACTGTGTTGGAATACACAGAGAGTTCTAACATGAAAGTCGGCTGGCCACAGACACTAGGAATTTCTGCAAGATGTAATGATCCCATGTGATATGGACTGCACTAGTGACCTGCTTTGTAATAATGATAATACTGTAATGGATTTGGTGATTCCGTTAGCAGGCAACAGTTCCGTAAACACGGTCCAGCAAGCAACAATAGCGGAAGCTGTGTTTTCTGTATATCCGGCTGACGCGCCAGTAGACTGGCTGGATAGCAATAACGTGATATGTGTTTACTGTAGGTCCATGTCCGTTTCGCGGCTGTATAAGTAAGTGACAGAATTCGATCAGGGCAGTTACGAGTTACGAGTAAGTCATAAGCCGGAGAAATGTGTCCAGAAGAATTTAGTTCCGAAGTTCGAGAGTGATCAAGATCAAAGCATCAAGTGGACTCTCGAAAATCACGTAGAAACAAGTCAATGTCTCAGAAACGGAATGACACTGAAACACTTTACATTTGTAAAATTGCGTGAGGTTCAGTCTTCTCATACCATATTAAATAATTGTTTAGGAAACCGCAACAAATTTAATACCTGGGTAGCTAGGTCGGTATTGAGACAAAGCTACTCACTGAAAGACAGAGGATCTGGAGTTCAATTTCTGGCAGCGTTCAGACTGACTCTGGGGTCCTCCCAGCCTACTGTCCAGTAGGTACTGGAGACTTGTTACAACAGAATAAAAAAAGCCGTTGCATCATTATGATCTCCCATCTCCACCTGTGTTCAATTAAGAATTCGTGGAATTGTACCTCTAATCCCCACACATATTTTCATGGCGTTGTTCTTAATTTAGCACAGGGATAACTTTGCAGCAAGAACATAAAATGATTTGCTACAAGTTCAAACCAGACAAAAAGAAAGTGAAAACTATATCGTGGTGAAAGGTGAACTGAAACGAGACATCAGACATCATGCCGCAGCAGGCTGGAAACTGCAATGTTCTCCACTCCCACCTGATGGTACTCATTGAACTAAATATCTGACTGATTGACTGACTAACTAAATAACTAACCGACTGGTTGATTGGCTGACTGACTGACTGAATAGGCACCTAACTGAATTACTGTCTCAATAGCTAACTGACTGACTGGCTGACTGACTAAGCAACCATCAGCAAATTCAAAGGAGCAAATTCCTTCATCGGAAACTGAAAATTGCTCAGCCAATTAAAGCATCCCCAAAATATATTTTGAACCCAAAGGCATTGTGACATGATAACCCGTTGCTAGGCAACGAGATGTTGAACGAGTTGCCATGAAGACGAACTCCTGTTTGCTAAGTCGGTTGTGAAGTTACGCAATAATGGAAAGAGGTTACCAACCCTCTTCTAAAGCAGGCTCTTTAAAAAGACTTCCACTCATACGGCGCGATGACGTCACGCTTCAACAGCACTAGCCATCACGTGACTGGGTATCTATGGAGTCATGCCTCGACCGTTGCTATGCAATCGTTCGGTTAACACGTTCCAACAATATAAGCTGTTTTCTGCCTGTTCAGTGCTGAGGCTATATAACGACAGTTAGAGACAGAACAGATTCCAGTATTGAGTATTTGAAGCGTATTTGTCAGAATTTTCGGAGTACTGAGACGGTCTGTGTGTGTTTAACTAACAGCAACTGGAAGTTCGTAGAAGACCTGTGAAGAATTTGTGTGTGCTGTAGTACAGTGATATTGGGAGTGTGTCATAGAGACGTTTATGGTTCCTGTGTAAAATCTGTTGACAAGAAACGGATAGTGACAACACTGTCAAGTCTTAGCCATGGTTCAGATCTGTTACCTAGCAACGACTAGTGCAAACATATATGGAAGACTTTATTTATGTGTTACAGCAATCATTAGAGTATTATAAGTAATTGTATTTACGACCTGAAAGTTGTTAATAAACCCATTTACCAATACGAACGGCGTCTTCAGTCGCCAAGCACATTACAGTATTGTAATGTGGATGGCCAGAGTGTTTCTAGGCAACGGCCAACAACCTGCCGTCGCTTAAGAGCATTCCCAGTCCAAGTCCAAGTCCAAGTTACATTGCGACTGACAGTCCGTCAGTGTGTCTGTCTTGGTGTCGAGCCCCGACTGGGGCTCATGACCAGATTTTTTATTTTTCTCTCTTTTTTTTTCTTATATGAAAGTTACTGTCCTGCTCATTAGGGTGCCCTCTCTGACGAGAGGTCGGGTCTGTCATTTGTTAGTCATAGTCCGTATTAGTATGTCCATTGTCAGTATTTACATATATTTACATTTTAATCTTAATTCCTATTTCTATGTACAATATATACAAGGCCTCTGTCAATCCAGGTTCGGTACAGCAGATNATTTTGAATGCCATGTGCAAATCGCGGACCGGTGTGCGCCTTGGAAAATTGCCAATCGTGCGGAGAACCTTGTTTTGCAGGCGCTGCAATTTCACTAGACGGGTGTCTGCCGCAAATTCCCAGGCGGGACTAGCATAAGTCATTACAGATCTAATAAGAGCTTTATGGAGGGTCAGTTTAATGTTAGCTTTCAATCGCTCACTTTTAAATAGGGAATATACTCTAATGAATGTTCTGAAGGCCTTGGCTTCGATCATTTCTATGTGTAATCTCCATGTCACTCTCTTATCGAAGATTACACCTAGATATTTTGCACTATTTACAAATGGAATATTTCTTCCATTTAGAGTAATACAAGACTCAGGCGGTCGACGACCACGAGAGAAGTAGATCCCCTGAGTCTTATCTTCATTAATTTTTATATTCCAGCGCTCACACCAGGTCCACATTGAGCTAAGACCGCGCTGGAGTTTCTAACAATAAAACCCTCCTTGCGATCTCTCGCATATAGATATGTATCGTCGGCAAAGAGGGCCAGGTTAACACCTTGAGTTTGGGGGGCATCATTTATGTACAAGTTGAAAAGAGTAGGGGAAAGGACAGAACCTTGTGGCACCCCTGCTTGCATTTCCCTTGGCGTTGACATTTCGCCTTCAACAGAGACCCTGAATTTACGTTTAGAGAGAAAGGACCCAATAAGCTTGGTCAAGGAGTTAGGGAATTCCAATTTTGATAATTTAAACAGCAAGCCTGAGTGCCACGTGGTATCAAAGGCTTTTTC